TTATACACAAATGATAGATAAAGGATGGAAGAAGAAGATCAGTATGTAAAATTACTTTAAATTGAACAAATAATTACTCAAAAATCTAATTTCGTTTAAGAGTGTGGCATATTCACCCTACTTACCCTAAGCAAGAAATATAATACTTGAAACAAGTAATTGTTATTTGCGTACAGTATGTATTTGTCTGTAGCATTTAACAAATTTTGAAGAAAACTATAACGCGAAATATGACTATAGAAAATTTTATTGAAAATCTAGAAACCTTTTTTTAACACTTAGCGAACAATGATTAATTTTTTAATCTTACAACTTCTCCTTGAGTGAGATTTGTTATAGTCCATTATGTCATTTTATTCTTTACCTCAAAATATGGGATTGTTTCGGGGCTATTACAGTAGCTTTTCCGTCCCGTAAAAATTAATGCTGAATTGAGAGCTAAAGCTACAACGAAATTATTAATTATGTGACAAAGATATGTTTTAACTCTCCCGAGCTGGTGCCAAAATCAGTAATACAGTTATTGACGCTGCGCTGGTCTGTAAGACCCATTAGTTCATGTTAATTAAAAGACACTAATTAATTTCAAAGAATCAAAGTGACTCATATAAAATATATAAATAGCTCGTATGAAAAAGAATTAAGAATTTATCCTATTTTAACCGTCTCTTGAAAAATAATCATTCTTTCGACTTGGATTGTGAAGAAAGTAAATAAAAGAATTCTAATTTTACAATTTTTTAGTACATATATTGAACTTGTTTTATATAAAATTTTATTTAAAAATATTAATATTTAAAAGAGATATAAGACGTGACTTTATGTACGTCGGAAAATAGTATATACAATTCCGATAGTCCGGTTAACCAGAAACAGAAAAATTAATTTGTGTTTCATAAATTATACAATATATACTCCTTATCGTGCGATAAATTAATTTTTAAAAAATGGAAAATGCATCTTCACACGATAAGGAGTATTATATAATTTATGAAACAAATTCATTTTCCATCAAAATGACGGAATTGTGTACAATGTTTCCCAGCGTATACAAAGTCATGATTTATCTCATCCAAACGTTAATATTTTTTAAATAAAGTTTTACATCTGCTAAGTTGAATATATGTATTAAAAAGGTGCCAAATTAGAAATTTATCACATTTATATTTTTCGTAATTCAAGCCCAAAGAATGTCCATTTTCAGCCGATCAAGATATAGAAGAATATCCCCTTATAATGCTAAATAAGTACATTTTAATAAGAATAATTTGAATTTTTATAGATAAAGAAAATTTAATTGACATTTTTTACAAAAAGATTTATAATTGAGTGGCTCCAAATAGACTTATCATCAGCTTAAGAGGGTTGATAATGTTGATATGCTCCACAAAAATATTTCCCTTAATTCTGCGCCTAAGTAGCAATTCATGTATACCATCGAGCGGATAATTAGAACAAATTCCCTTAAATTACCGCAGATTTCTCCGCTCCAAGAGAACGTAATCGTAGAGAATAGACCATGGTGGGAACGTTACCAACCTATATCTTATAAATTGGAAACAAGATCGGGCACAGCGAAAGAATTCAATGACATGGTTCGCACATGTAACAATGCCGGCGTAAGGATTTACGTCGATGTGGTCTTCAACCATATGACCGGAAATCAAAAGAACGCAAAGGGTACTGGCGGTTCAACAGCGGATACTGGTAACTTAAGTTATCCGGGGGTACCGTATTCTGGATTCGATTTTCACTACCCTTGCTCCATCAACAATTATCAAGATCCGGGAAATGTGCGGAATTGCGAGCTATCCGGCCTGCATGATCTCGATCAGTCAAAAGAATATGTCAGAGAGAAGATGGTCGACTTCTTGAACAAAATAGTCGATGCTGGAGTCGCTGGCTACCGGTTAGTAAAATCTTTACGTCCATTCTTTTACAATATTTCCCAATCAATATTTCGAAGTATCTTCTGATCAAAGAAATTATTCCTTTCAGGTACTGGAACTTACTTTCCCTTATCTCGATATAAGCAAAAATTTTTAGTAATATTTTTAAGCTAATTTAAAAATCGTTAATTAAACAAGATACATGCATTTATTTATTATATTTTGCCAAAATAAATCATCTCATCAATTTCTGGATTTTAGAGTAGACGCAGCTAAACACATGTGGCCGGAGGATCTAAAAGTAATCTACTCTCGAGTGAAAAATCTCAATCCGAAGCATAATTTTCGTTCAGGTGCGCGACCTTATGTATTCCAAGAAGTGATTGATTATGGCGGCGAAGGAGTCAGTAAATATGAATACAACTCTTTCGGCGCGGTTACGGAATTCCGATACGGTGTGGAGATCAGCAACGCCTTGAACGGAAAGAATTCATTGAAATGGTTTTCCAATTGGGGAGAAGCTTGGGGTTTGTTACCATCTCAGGATGCTCTAGTATTTATTGACAATCATGATACTCAACGTAGCCACTCCGAAATACTTACCCACAAGTCAATGAAGAAATACAAGGCAAGTGATTCTCGAGAGAACTGGAGAAATTAAAATCAGAAAAACACGGAGACTGAACTACGTCTTTATCTAAATGTCGAATTAATAATGTGATATTGCAGATGGCCGTTGGTTTCATGCTGGCACATCCTTATGGAACTCCGCGTATCATGAGTTCCTTCGCTTTTGACAATTTTGACGCTAACCCGCCGCAGGACTCTATAGGAAATCTTATATCTCCAACCATCAACTCTGACAATACCTGCAATAACGGTTGGATCTGCGAACATCGATGGCGTCAGATTTACAACATGGTGCGCTTCCGAAACGCTGCGAATAATACCGACGTGAACAACTGGTGGGACAATGGCCAGAATCAAATCGCTTTCAGTCGTGGAAACGCGGGTTTCTTTGCGATCAATGGTGATGAATATGACTTCAAGAAGGATCTCTTTACTTCTCTGGAGCCTGGTACTTACTGCGACGTTATCTCTGGAAATTTGGAGGATAACAAGTGTACCGGTAAGACCGTAACAGTGGATCAAAATGGAAAGGCGTTTATAGAAATCTTAAAGCATGAGGAAGATGGTGTGCTCGCCATTCATCGACAGGTAAATAATTTTATTTCAATTCCTTCAAGCAAGATGTTTTATTATCTTTATCATATAATAATTTATATCTAAACATTGTTTAAGTATTTTTCTTGAAGGATAACTTGTATTCTATAAATTTCTTTCATTAATTTTAATTTTATAATTTTTGAAATAATATTTTATTGTAGCTGAGCAATGTTTGTAGTAACAAGATTTTTTTTTAACAATAAATTATTAATTTGGATGTTAATGATAACTAATGCCATGTTTGAAGGAATTAAATCATTTTATGTACTTATAATAATACATCTTAATTTCTTATTATAATGTAACTAATGCCATGTTTGAGGGAATTAAATCATTTTATGTAATAATACATCTTAATTTCTTATTATAATGTAACTTTTAAGTTTCAATATAATCAATTTCTTTGCAGGCAAAGGTGGAATGCAGATGTTGAAGATCAGATTGGAATTAAAAATTGCTTATTGTAAGCATATATTGATATAAAATGTGTTACATAAAATATGTAGTTTAATAGAATAAAATATGTAGTTTAATAGAATAAAATATATAGTTTAAGTTGAAAAGAATTCAATTACGTTTGGATAAATTATCTGATCAACTTTAAAATATGAATTGGTTGTGTGCTTTAACTTGTTATGAATAAAATAAAAGCGTTTGCATAAATCCATGCAATGGAATGTCATTATTCTGGTGTTTTTATCCAATTTATGTAATCAAATTCCAGAGAGTACGATGCTCTCGTTTACTTTTATCGCTTTATCAAATCTATCGATAAACCATCGACTGATATATTTTCTATCAAAAAAGATCTTCTAACTCCGCAGTATAATATTTGTGAGAATATAATAATCGGTAAAATTGAGTGCAACACAGCTGTTATTTTTTAACAATGTTTATTTTAACAGAAACAATGTACTGTTTTTCCTCTTTTCACCATTAATTTCTACTATACATGATATGACAGTTAATCGTAAGATAATACACGACAGACTCGCGATGGAAAAACAAAAAATATAGTCGAAGGGAGATCGGGTGAGATGGGATGGACACATACCGTAAAGTCGATCGGTTTTGAGGAAGTGAGATATACCGATGGATAAAAAATCTTGAAATATCACAAAAAAATTGCCTTATCGTCGATTTTATCACCTTTCTCTCTAACTTCTAATCCATGTGTGCGATTAAATTATCCTTCGCTGAAAGAATCTGTCAGCACACTTATCGCTCTCTAACTCTTTTCTCCCATCCATTCTTCCATTCTTCTCATTGAACGAACATGCTGCACGAAATAATTAATGCGTAACGCTCGTAGTTACCGCATTAATAGCGTGTGAATCTCGCGACTAAGATACTAAAATAATAAAATACTACGGGGCATTTGTAGAAGCACGACATAAATAAATGCTTAAGCGTTTATGTACAGTGGTCTTGTTTAAGTAAAAGCCGCTAACTCGGTTATATATATAGCGTTTTTTATTGACAGAACTGGTGCGCACTCTGCGCACATCAAAGTCATCGTACACTAATCTAATCTGAATGTAAAAGTGAGATATCTCAATTGATAAAATGCCTATATATCCCTTATCAAATAGTACAATAAAATATACTTAGGATTTCGCGGTTTAATATTTTTATATTTTCATTAAACGTCTTTACGTCGATTTGCGGCTTTAAAGTGCTCTGAGTGTACACCGATTTTGCCAATGAAAAACGCTATTAATGTTAGCGCGCCCGAGTTCATTATATAACAAAAAATGATTTGTTTATTCGAGATAAGAAGAGGTTTCCGAATGAGGGCTGCGTTCGTTAAGCATATCAAACGGAAAGAAATTTTTCCTTACATCACGTTATCATTGTACATATGTATATCGAAAGTTAGTGTGTAATCGCGAATAAATACTACGCACGTGAACAAACCTCAACCTACAATTACCTTTCTGCGTAACGTAGAAGCAAGAGTATCGCATGTGATTACAGCATCTAATTACTATTGGTAATTTTGTATTACGAATGATTACGAGTATAGTAACGGATTTATGTAATCAACCGCAGGAAATGCGAAAGAATTTCCTTCTTTCACCGTCATCTCTGATCATTCTCACTAATTAAATAAAAACATTGTACACTTGAACAAATTTGGAAATGCTACAATTTCTAATATTCTTTCACGTTTTCTCCTTACTCTTTTTTGTTTTTTTTTTTTTCGACAAAAACAAACTCGGGGGCGCGAACGCACGTGTAGAAACGTGTTGTTTAGGCGTGTCAAGTGTTATGTATACATGTATATACAATTATAATTTTATATGATCAGCAGTAAATTCAGACTAATGTTTGTATACGCGTGTATATACTTTGTGTGTATGTGTGTGTGTGTTTCTTTGTGTATGTAAATCTAAAAAATACTGCTCGTCTTACGAACCGATTCGTTTACCACGCACACTTTCTCTCGCTATTGGTACGTGTAAGCGCAGTTTGACGTCATCGCCCTACCACCATTTACATCTTAATCATTACGTGAATACAATAAGGCAAAACGGGTACTATATCTCTAAATAAATAAACGTTTGACGTTGTATGAATCTTGGAGATTAAGAGGGACAAAATAAAAGAGACGCGCTATAATGTACAATTCCTAAAGAGCTACACGGGTCCGTCGCGCGTGAAACTGTCGTCGTCGTCACACGTGTCAATGTCTGTATGTGTACGTTATTCCTTTTGTATATGTGTGGTGTATGTGTCTTTCTTTCGTATATGTGTGTGTCGCACGTGGATTTTATTCTTGCATATAGAGCATTAGCAAAAATATAATTTAGTATATTTATTGTAATAATTCTCGTCCATATAAAAAACTTCGTTAAAATATATAAAAGAAACAACGATTTGAGCAAATACATATCTCCTATGGTAGTTAAAAGTTATCGCGTCGAAACGTATATTTATTGTTATTGCACGTAATTCTTCTCGCTGATTATGTATAGATTATATTCTTTTAGTATATGTATATACATATACATATAATTATATATATATACACACACACATATTGTATATCTATACTTACATCCGCTTCACACACTCGCATTTAATCGTTCCGACATATGTACACATAAATGCGTACATTTCACGTACGCCTCCTCTCTTTATTTTTTTCCTCTTTTCGACATCGAGTTAGTATTTCTTTATTTTATCGACTTTTCGTATGATGTACAGAGGTACGAGTTCGGCCGCTCAGAAAGTCGGTCGACGATCAAGATGATCTCAAGTAATCAAAAATAATATGTTCCATCGCGAATCGGAAATTAATCCGATCGATCATTCGTCTTGGAAGACTTTACGAAGATAGGCACTCATTTGATTTACTATCTATTAGTTATTTCACCTCCCGAAAGAAGAACTCCAAAAATAAAATCAAATAAATTAACTCCGTTTTAATGACCGACATAATCTTGAGAGTATTGATACATTTAACAAATTTTCTGTTTTTTTTTTTTTAGTTTACTAAACTGTCCAGAGAAGTTTTCAAACACAATTATACAGAAACAATAAAATATAGAAATATGTTTATTTGTAGGATTTGGGTCACAGAAATTTTAATTTAATAAAATATTTAAACAGAAATAATTTAAACAAAAATGTATCCCCGATATATATTTGTCATCGCATGATAGAAAATAATTATACGTTGTACAATGCGAATAAAATATGTCAAAATATGCATTCTTAATTTTCTATTTTTCACAGTGTAAAATATACTATTTAAGTACATACTGAATCCATGATAGAGATCACAAGTTTTAAAATTACCTATTTTTATAAATCCTCACGTAGATCTATGCCGTCGTATTTTTATTTATATAAATATAATTTCTCAATATTTTTTATATTTAAATATAAAAAAAATAAATATTTATATAACTTTTTGTCTGTTGATTGTGATTTCTTTTAAATTGTACAGTCCTGTAGATTCAAAAAAATAAAATCTTTAACCAAATTATTCCATTAAAATTGAATCTTTAGCCAATAGATTCAATGAAATATAAGTTTCAGTAAATAAATACATTCAAGTTCAGGCATCGTTATTAAATATATATTTACTAATTCTTTAATTATCTTACGTAGATCTATTCTTGCAACGATGTATCTATATACATGTGATTCAGCTAAACTTTCTTTCTTCGATCATCTTTCCTCGTAATTGTAACTATTCAATGGTTTCACTCTATCGTTACTATGTATATATGTATATATAGAATTTTCAAAAATATTTCTCTGTTTTTCTATCTAAATATTACTCGTTCAATAATCGAAGACCATACAAAGCTGAATTCTCAATTCTTCTATTTTCAGTTTTATCATACGTAATTAATTAATACATATCTTCCTGCTGCATCTAAGTTCTACGTAATCCGTCGTTACAGTCGTTATAGTTTCGCTGAACAACAGTTCTTCAGGTCTCTACAGTTTAGGCTTTAGCTTATCCTGATGATCGACGAACGCTCAAAAATATTTTTATTCTCAAGCATTCAGCACTTTACATGCTACATGCTATACGGGCTATACCAACTCCCTTCTCACTCTTTCTCTTTTATATCCTTCAGTCCAGTCTCGATTAAAACTCTCGGTCTATGTTCTATCTATAAAAGTTTTTCCGGGTACTTAATTATTGACAGGCGGAGTCTCCATGGTTCCTGATATATATGAAATCGTCTTCTTCGATTGAACACGTCATTCGGGAGTCACTGTTTGATAGGCTTTTTGAAGACGACTTCTGGTTTGCGTACCGGGCGAGGTATACGCCGTTCTATCCTGAGAGCCCGGTTCAGGTCCGGAGACGGCGGCGTCGGAATCACGCCGACTGCTGCTGTCTCAGACCCTAATGGAGGAGTCTCCGCCATTGTTTGTCAGTTCCCAGTGCTACTAGGTCGCCGACCCGGCGTTTGCTGTTGTTGTTGCTGCTGTTGTTGTTGTTGCTGCTGCTGCTGCTGCTGTTGCGTTACGGCTGCAGCCGCGGCTGCTGCACTTAACGCCGGTAGCGGCGTTTGGTGACAGTGGGCACAGTGCAAGCATACCGTGCAGGCACCGAGTTTCCGAGCCAACATCACGCGCAGCTTCAAGGCTGGACCGAGCTTCATACCCATCGTGCCTGTCAGGTGGCTTTCCGAGAGTAGCGGTAGTGCTGCGCCGTCTATACGGTGCTCTCGGAAATTCTGCAAGCAGAAATGTAGCAGTATGTTATTAACGGTATACCTCAAGACAAGCGCAAGAATTTTCATTGGTCTCCAAAATTATTCTAAGAGAGTAGAGTTGAAAACTAAAAAAATTTGTTTCCTAATATACTGATGATTTGTGTTACAAATATCAATATAGTCTTATTATATAATGATATGCTAAAGTTTAATTATGTAAACGTTAATTTTTTGTCAATAATGTGCTTGAATCTACATTCATGAATGTGCAAAAAGTTAGCGGTGATGCTAGATATTGTTGGAATTCGCGGCATCTAAAACTTTGATTGTGCGAATATATGGAGGAGTAGCGTTCGTTCGTTAACACTACTCTTTTGTATATTCCGGTCCCCAATGCATACCTTCACGTGCGGAACGGGACACGTACGCATGTACCGCCGTGCCGCGCCGCGCGTCGACCTCCGACCGGCTGGAATCGCGGCCGAAGATCGTCCTCGCGCGGCAGCTGCGACCTCCTCGCTGTCGCGTGGAATCCCGTAAATTCGTCTCGCGCGAGACGCGATTCAACGAAAAGGCAAGCCGCTATTTCCATCGACGTGCAAAAAGTCAGGATTGTTTCGCCTGTTGAGAGGAAATCTCGGGAAAGAGGAAGAAAAGGAGCGGAGGAAGACGCGAAGTCCGAAGGCGGACGTAAAGCGGAAAAGGGCAAGGAAAAAGGAAAAAGAAGATGAAAAAAGCACAGGAGCGCGGATGCGTTTCATTCACCGCGCTGGGGGCCGCGCCTCGTGTAATTGCAGCTGCAACGACCGCGGGATGCAACGCGCGTGTACGTAAGCGCGATCGCGGACGTCCCTTGCGCGCACCACACGTTCGTGGAATACGGTAATTGCTCGGCCCGCTTATGAATGAAATATTCAGCGCCGTAATGCGAGCCGCACACGCAACGGCAGACCGGTCTCCTTCCTCGCGCATGCCGGGCTCCCTCGCCGAAGGAGGGGATCGGGATCGACGTGGAGATCGAGGCCGTGCATTCATGCCGCTGGGCATTCAGGTCTCTCTCTCTCTTTCTCTTTCCTCCCCTCCCCCCCTCTCTCTCTCTCTCTCCACTCGCAGAGATAGCGTCTAATTGGTCGGCTTTCGGAGGGTAAGTGCGAGGTTTATTTGTCACCGAACGAAGTGTTTGTCGATCTCTGTACTTTACGTACCTATTATACATTCGCAGCACTCCGATGATCGATTTCGATAATATTGAATGTATTGTAAATAAAAAATTGATTTCCAAGTCCTTCAAGCTAAACAATATGCTAAATTGAATTTAAGTAACAACTTTAAGTAAATTAAGTTTACAATATCGACTCATACAGCGCAGACCTCCAAGGAACGTTTAAGATGTTTAAAGAACGGTCCATGTCCTTTGAACGTTCTCAGGACGTTTCCTAAGAATATCTTTCGGATAAAATATAGGGAGTCTCGTGCACAATAATTGTACTAATTTTATGTGTAAGTAATAGTTTGTTTCATTTTATGAGTTAAGCGATTTTTGCTCATCATCGTCCAACTGGTAATGACACGCGTTGTGAACTCGGAATCCAACAGGTGTTGCATTCATGCCGCTGGGCTGAATGTAGGTGCTCACTGACCGTTTCGCCAAGCGACTTCTAATCTACGATTTATCTACGTGCGCATCGCGCGAAGAAATATCAAGAGAATTCATCGCGCAACAGGGAATCTATACTGCTAGGTGCGAGTCCAGAGATCTCGATGTAACAATAAGGTTCGCATAATCGCCGACAGTAAAACGCGTAGTCATTGATTACGGTAAATAGGCCCCACACTGTTTCGGATTCTCGATGCATTCGCGGTTCTAACGGTACGGAGTCAGGCACGCGCGAGAAAAGCCGCCTCTTCACGGTCGCCTCGCGCAAAACGCTAATTAGTTAAGTCATTCACACGCGCAAGAACTGTTCGCACCGTGAAACTGAACTCTGGATGATCACTTCGTCTGGTGCAGAAAAATCTCAGATTCCCAACTAAACGTATTATTTTTTCATCCAAAACCAGTCATTAAGAGAAAGAGTAATTTCACATCTCCGTTCGTCCATCACGCTACGCGCGTTCAGTCCGTTCAGTTCGATTCGCGTAACTCTGCACTCTAAAGTTATCGTACAATTTATATATTAAAATATATTAAAATTTGTCTAAAAATTCGTAATCAAGTTGCATATTGTAAAAAGACTAATAGTTTCTCTATTAGACAGTCTTATTTGACAGCTTATTGATTTCATATCCTAAAGAGAGAATGAAGTTGAGCGAATATGACTTATGGACTCTCTCTCTCTCTCGATACATTCAGGATTGCATATACGTTAAAAAAACGCGTTCATCCACAACAGCTATATGATGAAGGAAGATGCTTCATTGTTTTCGCGAGGCGAGCAAGCAGTTTCGAAATCTCATGAAACGACCGACGCGGCGCGGCGTGGCGCGGCATGGCATGGCATGGCGCAGCGCAGCTGCAGTTGCAGCGAATATATCATCCTCGTGTTGCACCGCGGGCGACCGGGCGCGCACCAAAGGCTGGGTAACGAAGACAACCTATATTTTCTCCACCCAGTTCCAAACTCTTAAGGGCAAACGCGATCTCCCGGCTGGTCCTGCATCAATTATACCTTCCACAAACACGATGTTAGGCCCCCTTGCGAACTCGTCGTGCGTCGACGTAGTGCAAGAGGGCTCGCGAAGATGCGCTCCGACTCGGGAGCATGTGTTATTAAATTATTCGCGCGTCACTGTGAACGCGAGAGAGGAAAGGAGTGGAGAGGGTTGCCCTCTCCTTAAATTATGCGCGTGGACTTATCAGATATGCCCGCGGGCCAAGAGGCGCGCTAAGCGGAATTTAAATTGGCGAACATAGAAACATTCGTGTAACGATATAAATGCGCGTTGCGATTTGCGATATTTATTGTGCGTCTTGTGGCTCTTTGGTGAAAACGCGACTTATAATACAGCTCTGCTGTGTATCCATAATATATAATAAAATCTATTCATTTAAGTACATGTAGACATCGCATTTAGAGTATTGCAGTACCGCTTACATACGCCGTAATCGGACATGATTTACTTTCTTAATTGCTTCGGTCTTTAGTTTTCCATATTAATTTGAATAACGTTGAATAACATAATTTGAATAACAGTACTACGAGAAGCTTAGAAAAGTATGCCGTCGACGACAAACAACATAAATTCGACGCTAGTGAATGTCAGTTCATCTCGAGATAAAGAGACTCCGAGAATATCCGCGAGGTTGCATCCGACCGTGACCTGGAAAAAGACGGAGAATTCTCAAAAAATAACGGCTCCTTTCTTACCGAGCTCGAATCTCCGACCCGAGGAATCTCTTGTAACCTTAAGAGATCACTCAGTCGGAACCACGTCACGTTAAACTACTATACGCAGTGAGTCCAAAGAATTCGTTCTTGGACGCTCGGGTGGTTGGCCGTCCAACTTTTTGCACCTGAAGCACGCAGGTGCGGAAGGCAATACGAAAATTAGTGCCTCGATGTCAGACCTCTGCAATTAGCCGTAGCCTTGATAATTATAGCAAGTTGTAATGATTATAGTAATTTGAAATTATAATGCTAGTGGTTTTTCAATCAACCGCTAAAAGAGATTACTCATCGTTCGAAGGCGAGTAATGGAATTATAATAAACTGGAGCACATAATATATTGAGGTAACATCTGTTATACCTGTTTGGCTCACATCCATTTCTACAGCTGTTAATTTATCGATTAAACTGACATAGGTCGGAATTTGCGCATTTATAAATTACCTATATATTATAAATCATGCATACAAATCCAAGTGTCACGATCTTTCGTGCTAATATTTGCGAACGAAATCTTAAATTTCTTAAAAGTCGATGTCATCACGGCGAAACAGTATTTATAGCGCATGAAATGTTTCTTTCTCTTTTTAATTATTCAACGGCATTAAGTCATCGCGCAACATCACTCCAGGACAAGCTCTTAACAGTTCTCTGCCATAAAAGTCGCGTCCGTTTCATAGCTACTTCTGACTGTCTCAGTCATTATTACACCTGTCGTGTTACGAAATGGCAGATAGATATAAGCAACGTTTCAGGGTAGCTTGAAACGGTTCTGTCGCATGCGCATAATATAAGCATCTGCGGATGACTTTTTTTACGTTATGCCTTTCCTATAATTATTGCAACTCTTCTATAACGAATAAATGTATTTTCAAGTTTCGTAACAAGAATTAGTTTAGTAAATCGAGGTTCTTATAATTGATTATATTAAAATTGAAAACAGGATTTTATCGAGAGATATTACTCGACTCCCATGAATAGAAGCTCAGCTATAGTAATTAGAACCAGATTGGTAGTTGCTATTGTTCCTACTTATCGCCTCCCTTTGTATGACCCTGTGGAAATTACAATACCGTACGGCATTGTGTTTCAACTCTAACCCACCATTCTTCTAACACGTTGAATTATATATTACACGTGTATCTCACTTACGCATCGTTGGCGTGCAACTATATTGCTGCCGAATGGATACCGAACGCAATTGCGGAGCAGGCTGTCACACAAGTAACGAAACGTTAACCAATAAAAGTAAGTGCGCGCTGCAACTTTTGTCGGTTGCTACCGAGGAGATCTCCGAGCTGCTGCGATCCCAAGATCCCTTATATGGGAGAACGGCGCTCGCGCGAAGGGCAGAGCGCGCCAGCGATCGCGCGCTGAATTCTGCACGAGGACGAACCGAGGTTAAGAATTTGCGTCGGCGGGCTCGCGCTAGAAATTCCACACACGTGTTTTCGTTCCACCGTGCGACCTCGCAAGGAATTGTTCCGTGAGAAAGGACGATGCCGCCGGTGTATCAACAAGGTGCGCGCGTAAGAACCACCGATTCGCGACGCACCGACACGGCGTAATCGATCAACAAGCATGAACATTGTCTCCCGCGATGAACAAGTTCATGGATCGACTGGTGTTATGTA